ATGTTGATCTAAAAACATCACTACTTAATACATTATGGTACATAAAAACTTGAAATTAAACTGTGATCAGAGTTGGTAAAAATATCGGTGAAGGTTCATACATATTGTAAAATAAATATGACATTATATGATTACATGCTAACTGAATGTCGTTGTGGTGAATACAATATAAAGACACACTTTTATAATCATAATCATCTTCTTTTATTTATATCCTGCTCCCACTGAGATGAATCTCAGGTTACATTTACATATTGAATTACAAAGTTAAAACTAATGATGGGATCAATTATGCCCCATACTGAGCTGTGCACTTTGGAATGACTTTGAGAAAGCAGGAGGGTCAAAAAGAAAAAAAAACACATCCACAGTGCACAGTGGTTTCAAGATTATGCTGAAAGACAAGCAGGGAACACTGGAACAGTCAGGGATTTGTGTTTGTCGAAGAAAGCAGGATCATTAGGCATAAATTTTGCAGTAAATTTTTGAGCCTCCTTGTCTGTACAATCTTGCACTACACTTTTAATGTACTATTGTATCTAAGTTACAATTTGCTCTTCCTGGATGCTATTGCCATGGAGGTTTGATATTATCCCTTTCTCCTTTCCTAGCTGCACAATAAATGCGCTTCTCATCTTAAGCCTGAATGTGACTGTGGACCTTTGAAGGACCATATTTTACCACCCACCACAATCTGCCCAGTGGTCTTGGTGAGTTTGTTCTTATCATTCGGATGTCACTGTGGATATTGCGAGTGACTGGGACACTATAGCAGTAATTATTTCTGGAAATTTCTTTTTTCATTAGTTAAGGCAAAACTGTCAGTCTTCCCACATTATCCCTCCTGAACAGAAACCTCTGCTCATGGCTTTCTGTTGGTGTAGAAACACGGTGGGGTCAAGCATGCTCAAACTGAAGCTGACGTGAGGGTTGTCTCCTAGTCATGCTGGTCTTACCAGAAATTATATGGGCAGAGCACTTCTACATTTTGCATATGTTATAGACCTGGCTTCCCAGAATAACAAAGTTATTCTTGTGGACATTTTTGCAAGAAATGCACATTCTTTGTCTACATTGTTGAAGTTTCTCCTTTAGGTCAGAGGCCACCTGAAGTGATGACACAGATCTTGAAATATGTTATGCTTTCTCACTGTTTTTTTGATATTAAAAATAAATTATACTACCTGCTTATTAATTTCCTAATTAAGTAAATATACAAATGAAAAGTGAAGGTAGTTCTGAGAAGACTCTTAATAAGGATAAAAACAGACATTAAAAGATAATATTCACAATTTTCAGAATCTGAAATTGTTTTTAAACAGAAAGCCATTTCAGAAAGCAAACTACTTTACATAACACACAGCTCATTTTCAAAAACAACACGGGAACTAAATGGCTGGAACTTTGGTTTTATATAACAAAAATACAACAACTAAGAAAAATTAGACAAATACTTTTGTAAAGGTCAACTGAGAAATTAATCAAATTACTCAATTCTCATCCACTTATGATTCATTTTGTTATTATCTGCAAAATACTGATGCTGTTTTAAATACCTTTACTTACAAAATCATTAGGAACTCTTTGTCAAATTACTAAAAGAAAAGAAAATATCCTCATATTGCAGGAGACAGTATTAATTCATTTCAGTTTCTTCTCTAAATATAATATTTGTTGAACATATGCAATAAATGCAGTTATTTATAAATATTGATTCATAAATACTTTGGATTTTAAATTAATTTTATGTTATCTTTATCTTATAGAGAGATTATAGAAATTTTACAATATTTTCTTTTCTTTAAAAATATTGTAATTTTCCTGACTTAAATTCATCTTTGAGATCCGGTTTTAATTCCCACAGAAAGCCTAATTTGTTTTTCTATCATCAAGATTCGGGTGGGATACCCTGCTCAGAGAGGGCTATTCTGGCCAGGCTGGGTCCCAGAATGTCAATCATGGGGCTCAACCTTATTTTTCCATCACTCCTTTCTTTGGGAAATTGTCAGTTTAGAAACATGTTACATGGATATTCCTGCCTTCTAACAATCTAGAAAAGGATTTTCATTGCTTTATTTGGATACCTTTGATTCTGAAAAGTTATTTTCTATCATCAAATATTTGTAAGGTGCTTATCATGATTTGTATCTCAACATTTGTCATTGAATCATTAGACTATGGTTTATTCTGGAACATGTCCCTCTCAGTGGAAAGCCCTTATCTACCTTTAAATGACTTTTATTATGCCTCACCCTGTCCTTGATTTTTCTTGGGGCTCTTCTTTTGTCATCTTTCTAGGGTTGTGATGTCACCTTGCCTAATATTTGTGTATCACTTGTGTTTGGCTTCTTTTGTCAATGTTTTACACATTTACTATTCTTCCTCATGAGATCCTACATCTCTGGCTGATTTTATTTCTGTGTTAACCATAACCTAAAAGTTCCATCCTGTATTCACTCCAACAATCCAATATATTATTATTATCTAATGTAGTAGCACTAGTGCCTTTTACTGAGTTCACAAACTATAGAGGATGTTGTGTTAAAAGTATTAATTTATTCAGCAAGCATCTATCAAGTTCCAAAGAATATTTTAGTGTCGAACCAGATAGTGAAAAGTAAACTCACACCATTGCCTTCATACATCAGTTAGAGGAAATCATGGAGAAGTGTAGCACAAATAAGTAGACAGTTTGGCCCTGAATGTACTAAAACACATGGGAGCAGAGTAATGGTTACCAAGAGCTGGAGGAAGGAGAAGAAGGTTGTGCTGGCTAGTTATATGTCAACTTGACCCAAGCCAGAGTCTTTGGAGATGAAAGAGCCTCAATTGGAAATACTTCTCCATAAGACAAAGCTGTGGGCAGGCCTATAGGGCCCTTTCTTAATTAGTGATTGATGTGGGAGGACCCAGGCCATTGTGGTTGGAGCCACCCATTGGCTGGTCTTCCTGGATGTATAGGAAAGCAGGCTGGGCAAGCTCTGTGAAATAAAGCTGTACATATCACCTTTCCATGGCCTCTACATCAGTTCTGTCTCCAAATTTTGGCCCTGTTTGAGTTCCTATCTTGACTTCACTTAATGATGCATTATGATACGTGAGTAGAAACCAAATAAATACTTTCCTTCCATCCATGCTATTGGTCATGGTTCCATCATACTAATAGTTGCCCTGACTAGGGAAAAGTGCTGTTGTCCAAAAATAGGAGAAGCTCCAATGGCACAGTAGCTGTCAGTTTAGAAGTAGGATTTGAAGCGAAATAGCTATAAATAATAACTCTGTCCAGGACACTGAAAAATTGCAAACAGACTACATTTCAAGTGCTTTTACGACAAAGCCTAGAAGGATAGGTTGATTGTCACTAGTGATGATGTAATCCGAGAATAAAGCACAGCAATGCCATTATTTGCCTTTCCTTGTGATTCATGAATCATGACATTCTTCTTCCAGTACAGAAGAATGAAGGTCCTAACTGAAGTACACAGTGGTTTTTATTTTAAAATAAGCATCAAAATAGAGGAACATTTCTCTTTGTATTGACGGAGACAGACTTTTTTTTTCTTTTTTCTTTTTCTTTCTTTCTTTTTTTTTTTTAGAGAAAGGAGTCTTTTGGAATCTTTTTACTTCTTTGAGGTTTTGCTTCGCTCACAGGAATTTACCATAAATAACTCTAATTTTTGTATTTGGTTTGGACGTTTGGGATTTGTGAAAGGCCTCAGTACAATATAATATTATCCAATATATTTTATTGAATAATATTGAAATGTTATTTTGAATATCTTATATACCCCAAAAATGCATAAGATATTTTAACACAAATAACAAAATAAAATCACAGAGAATAATTTCTAAATCTACATACAAGAAAGAGTGAACTAAAGAAAGAGATATGAATGAGACACCATATGACTTACTGGGGAGAGAGCTTAATAAAAGTCTAGTAAAGACATAATCTTTGAGGGAGGAGAAGCTCGACATATCAGAAGGACAATGAATGATAATATAATTTATATAATATAATTAATAACTGGACCAGAGTGTGTGGAGGAAGAAGAGTACAAGTGAAGGACATTTTATACTGTGCACAGTAGTTAGAATATTGGATGTTAGTTACATTTTATTCTGAATCACATGAGAATTTTTCAGAAGATTTTCTTCCTAGATAAGGAGTGATATAATTTATAATTTGCATTAAAAATCTGTCCACTGTGATGGGACAAAGATACAAAATTTACATATTTGAAGACAGGGAGCTAGATCCTTGCTTGTAAATGGGGATGGAGTAAGACCAATAAGAAGTCTGAAGACTGACTAGAAGTTAATTATGATGTCACTTAGTAAGATGAAAACTAAAGAGATCAAACACACACAGTATAACTACCAAGGAGTGAGAGGCAACCTCTCTAGTTAACGTCACTTCGAACATGGTTAGGAACCGAGAGTGAACGGGATTCTCTAGTCAAGCCTTCCATCATTGTTTTTTCTAGGTTCATTCCAATTCCAAGAGCAGAATAGTCACAGTTCACCATAAATGATTCTGCCACATTATTCCATCTGAAGTGAACGGAGAGAATCAGTGAGCTAGAAATGTCTGCACAGCAGCAATTATTCAGAAACAATAACCGTTGTTAAGCAGAGAAATGAGAAAACAGTACATTGGAGGCAGTCATGGGCTCGATATCTTAGAGTAGGGTTAACAGTATGAAGAAGCAATGATGAAGGATAGAGAAATAGAGATTATGAAAAAGTAGGGTTATTGATAATGAGAAGTACAAACTTATTTGAAACTCACAGTGAGCCCATAATCTAAAGATAGTTATTGTTCCAGGCTTATACACAAGTAAATAAAATAATGATAGCAAAACTCAAGTAGCATCACTGCATGGAATCAGTTTCTATTCCTTCCTCCAGATCCCAGTTCAGGCCCCTATTTGTCTTGTCTCAGCCACTGGATCCTCTATGGAACAACATTCACAAGTTCCCAATCTAAGTCTTACCTGGATTCCTCACCATAAATTGCAAGTTAATCACTGGGTCTGCTGTTGTAACATTCATAATCTTGTTTCTTTGTATCCCATGCATCTTTGACAATTTTTTCCCTGTGATATCCTTACAGAACTCATTCCTTTCCATATGTCTCTAAGGTGCTTTCCGGGTCTACGTTCTAAAATACAAACATGAAATATTTTTTAATGCATAAATTAATTCTACTTTATTTGAATTCCAAGCTCTCTTCTATGGTCAACAAAGTTCTTACCTGCATTAACCCAGCCAGTCTCTTGCAACCCACATTAGACACTGGAAATCAAGAATAATTGAACTACATGTAATTCTCAAAGTACAATTGTTCTCTCAAGCTTCTGCAGTCTTTTATATGACAATAAATCAGGTGAAATTACTTCACCTTCGGTTCCTCCTACCTTGCTAAGCTACAATTAAAGGTCATTTTTGTGTAATGGAGTAAATACATTAAATATTACACCTATTAACTATTTAAAGGTCCGTGTTTTAAACAAAATAATAGTCTGCTTAGAATATTTGTTAAACTTTTCAAACTATTGGTCACTGAACTTGTTCTAAACTAGGATCGGCACAACTGTCCCAGGAATGAATCTACACTGTTATACACAATTTTAATATTTAATTTATTTAAAGAAAAGCAGTAGCCCTCACATAAAATAAAAAATTAACTAGGTGTTTTTGTTACTGTTGCTTTCCTTTAGTTGAAGTTTCATCCCTTGTAACCTCTATTAATTGGTTTTGGAGATAGTATTCACCATGAAGACCAGTAGTATTGAGCTTAGTTATTAAAAAATGACCATTCATGTCATCTTTATCAAACCATACAAAATATCAAAGGAGAAATTAAGATGCTAGCTCTATACTGTTATTCCTTAGCTATTTTGTTGAAAACAGATTTATTGAAGTAGGATGCACAGGCCCTCACATTTGCCCTCCTAAAGGGCCCATTCAATAATGTTCAGTGTACTGAGAGGTATGCACCACCATTGCTCATCTCGTGACTTTGAATATGCCTGTTTTGGGTTTGTCTTCATTTCTTTTTGGCATGTACCTATAAATGCAAGAGTTGCACTGTGATAGAGATGCTCTTTAGCATTAGTATTTTTCTTCAGAAATGTCATCCCACATTCTCACCCCAATTGAAACTCTTTTCCACTGCAGCTGTTCTGGTGACTGGACAGTTTTCTATCATATTTAATACCCCCTTTTCTTCAGCTCCCCATGGAGAAAAGACATACTACATCACAAAGAATGACGTGGTTTTCTTGTGAAGAAGTGAAATTTATTTAATATAAATGGTTGATTCATGATTAGATTTGTTTGGTAAAATGAGAAGCTTGCATTCTGTGTGACATTAATTTAAGCATGGAGAGGGGACGCTATTCTCCTGGTGTGGGGCTGTGATAGGCATGATCAAGTAGCTCTTACAGCTGATAAAGTAAGAGGAACCTGAAGACTTTAACACAGGGCAAAATTTTGAAATTAAGGTTATTCATATGATGTAACATTAGTTCATATAACACTATTAATATGATATAGCATTAGTTCATATAATATTATATCATATAACATAACATTAATTAATATGCTATGACAATCTGCAGCCTTAGATCTGGGAATACAATGTGTTTACTATGCATTTGAATGTTAAGAATAGTTTACTGGTGCTGTTCCCAACATTCCTCATCCTAGCTCCAAAGCCTTGTCCCAGTGATGACTTTAAATCCATGATTGAAGGGGGATATGGTGGAACTGTAAGGTTCTGTTGGATTCTGCTGGAAGAATATTGTTAGTTGGAAGTCAAGAGTCATCTCTGCTGGTACTGTAAAATTATTCATGGCCAAGAACACAGAGAACCTTTTTTCAGGAGTATTTCCGTGTTAGAATAGGAAGAATATTGTTAGTTGGGAGCCAAAAATCTTCATGCTGGAACTGAAGAACTTGTCATGTCCAAGAAACTGGAGAACTCTTTTTTTCAGGAGTATTATAAGCAAGGCAAATGAAGAAGGAGATGCAGTGAGTTCATAGATAACAGGTCACCCAGTGACATTTTTGCAAAAGAAGAGACTTGAAAGACTGGGGGAAGGGGGGAGGCGTTTGGGCAGTGGTACCAAGATCTTTAATGAGATGCTGGTATTTAAGTGTGAACCCTGGATATTAGAGAATGTCACTTTCTTCAGAATGATCCAGAATGACTGATTACACACACACACACACACACACACACACGCACACACACACATAAATTAAATATTGTCTAAATGATATAAAAGCTTTGTTAATCAAATAATCCAATTCAAATGGCTGAGAGACCTAAGCAATCACTTGAAATAAATATGTATATGGGTTATCTATAAATATTTGTAAGAAGGCATATCTTATCACTCATCAGGAAAATACATGATACAAGTCATAGAATTGTAACACAAGTTAAAAAGCGTACCTTTCCTCTAAGCGCGTGACTGCTCCTCCACTGCCGGGGGAAACGTGACTGAAGCATCCACTGGGACCCCACACGATGAGTGTTCTGCACCTGAGTCCTGACATGCGCTACTTTATTAGGTCAGATTAGTTAACAACATTTCTCCCAACTTCTCTTTGTAAAAAGGAAAGATGCAATAGTTCATGAAAACTGATTTAAAATATGCCAACCATTAGAAAATGATTCATTTATATCATTTGTTACTATAAGGATCACACTAGAATTTAAAAAGTAAATTTTAAACTTTTATGTAAAATGACAAAATATTCACTAAACTCTAAAAAGACATAAATTTTAGGTCTTTAATTTAGTAAAGTAAAAGAATGATAGAATAAATAACTTCTTTGGTACTTAGATCGTTTCCTTATGTTTCTGTAAGTTTCAATTAGCATACCAAGTGACATGCTACCTTACTGTTTAAGTCGATATAATTAAATATATTTTAATTCTTGTAAATTATGAGAAATGGCTATATAATTTCTCTAATGAAGCACATCTGAAGTATACACTGCTTGTGGCTGCCACCTTTTCCATTCCATATTCCTTATTTTTGTGAAAGTGACCCTTCAGTGGGACTTTCTCAGGAAGAACACACTCTTTGAGTTCTAATCCCCAGTACAAAGTATCAGTGCCACATCCTGTTTTGTTCTATAAATGAATGTAATTGACAGAGATTTATTACTTCTGTAATACAAATACATCGGCAACAATAGACACCTTGAATTGACAGAAATAATGAATTTTAAATTCTAAGTTATCTTCAAATGATTATCTCATCTCTATTTAAACTTCGACATTTCACCGGAAGGTGTAATTGAAGCAGCATCTATCAACAAGAAGAGATTACTTGTTTAAGAATTGATATATTAAATATTTTGTCTCCCTTTGGACAATTAAGATATTCTTTCTGGGATAATTTCTCATGCCATAGTATCTTATTAAGTTTTAGTAATGGAGTTTATCCTAATGCCAATCAGATAAATAGCAAAACTTCTCAGATCACAGAAAGGGAAATAAATTATTTTGGAAATGTGGATCTATGAATATTCTTCAGCTTTGAGTCAAATGGTCTCGATTCTACCTCTCTTTCCTCTCCACTGCTAAGTCTGTAATGTGGCCAATTATGGTGTTACTGCAGCAGCTCTCTACGTAGTCCTACGTATAACACCCTCAGAGAACCATATGCCATATTAACTTCTCCTCTTCCGATCGCTCTTACTCTTCCACAATTTTAAGAATTCTAAATTATACATTGTAAATATGGTGATTACATCTTAAATAGCAGAGGGTATGTGACGCCTTCCTTAGAGCATGTGTTAAACTAAGTCACTCCTCCCCAGAATGTCAGAAGGTCTGTTAGGGAATGAATATGATCTGTGAGTCTTCTTCACAGCTCAGCTATTATGGGATCCTTTTGCGTCTACCTATCACTTACCTCACGCAAGTGAGAATTAATAATGACAAGCCCAATGCTGAGCATCAGCCAGTGGTAGGAGGAGGTGTACATCTGAATCCCCTAACGTTCTGAGACTTGTGAACTGTCTGGAACTTTCTTCCCTTTGCGAGTTTGTGAGCTTCCATAGATGCAGCCTGTGGTGGGGAGGTGTGAGCACTTGAATGAGGCTGGAGCTTGCCGCTCTGAGTATCACATTTTAGCTTTATACTATTTTGGTTGTTTCATTCTTCTTTTCCATTTACCCCTTTCACCTTCAGCAACAGCTACTGAACTCACGGGTCTCCTTGAAATATTTTGCACAACCTCCCTACGATTTGTACCCCTACAGTTTTCTTCTTCATCTTTTTTTTTTGTCAAAAGAATGGGGATAAAGTACATTGTCAGTTCTCAATAAATGTTTCATCAGTGTCATTACTTAATATTCATTTAATTAATATTCATTATAGGTCAATTCATAATTGTCATCATGGTAATGATAGGCAAAAGGAATCTCATTTTTTCTATATTTTGAAACTCTAAAAGATTCAGGTTCATGGCATTATTCATAGGGAATGTTGCTTTATATTTATTTAATTTTTAGGATGGGTGGCATTGAATTGGAGCATTCCAATCCAAGTAATCAGTTCATAGTACTGGAAGATTAAGGCATATATATATATATATATATAGATATATATATATATATATATATATATATATTACACTTGCATTTGTTTCCAGCTTGGTATACTCCCATACACAACACTAAAGTCTGCATCATAGAAAAGGGGGCTACACAGCGTCATTATGTGAACATTACATCATCTAAGTTGTGAGAAGAAGCATAATTCTTTACATTGTTCTGCTTAGGTTAACATCGCTATGTCTAAGGAATCCATCTGTATGCTGATGTGAGATAACACACACACATACCACATCACACACACTACACACACACATAAATGATGCTATTTCTTAAGAAAAGGGTCATTATCAATGTTGAGTTATGTTTGTTTCTACCTAAAATCGTAGTTATATTTTTGAGTTTATTTTTAATAGGACTATGTCAATATTTTGGTAAGTTTCTGTGATAGTTTTGTCTTAAAGCATAGTTGTGAATAGAGCAAGTTATAACTCTTTTGATGAAAACAAACTGTGCCATGGGAAGTTTATCGCAATTCATAGGAATGCCAAAACACAGTGCCAGGAAAATAGGATTTGGAAGTTTGATGAAGATAAAATCTAATGGAAATCAAAAATCTGCACCCATACATAAACATATCAAAGGGATTTACAACCATAACAAGATGGAGCACTTAAAGTACATTCAAATGAAACAAAACACTCATGTCTATTTGTGATTCAAAAATAAGGCTGGATGTGGGGTTGCCTACTGATGATGACTGAGGCTATTCTACAAATAATTGCCAACAAGGTTTAAGGGAGGTCACAGAAAAATGCAGTATGCAGTCAAAACATCAGTGAATTGATACCAAAATTAAGAGAACAACAAATTTATGTCAGAAAATGTTAAAAATTTGACAGTGGCAGTTTGAATTTTTCTAGTCTCTGATTTTAGTAGCTTTAGAAAGACATGAAAGATCCACGCTTGATAATGTCCATCTAGAGAAACACTTTAGAGCATCATTTTCATGCAATCACGAACTCAATATATGGCGTTGTTAGACATGGCCTTGCATCTCATTAATATCTCAAAAGACAGTGCAATGTGGAAGTCTTGTTCCTGCAATTTTGCTCTGCATTTTATAACAATAGCTAATATATAGACATGTATATATGTATGTGTATAAGTACATACACATACATATATATGTGTATATATGGACATACACACACGCATATATACATACATATATCTGATTTATGACTAAAGTTCATTTTAGTTTTGTCAAAGTAGTAATAATTCTGCCACAACAGAACAAGGAAGGGGCATATCCCATAGAGTTTTCATAGATCACTTGCCTGAAGATTCACTGTTTAAAATGAAGGAAATAGTAATTGTGATTTTCATTGGCAAAGGACATTACTGCAGACATCTACTCAAAGTTAACACAGTTGAAACATATGAATAGAGGATTGAAGGATAAAGAAGGAATAGAGGAGAGAAACAATAAACCAGAGTTCACCAGTATCACAGTAATGTTGATTCAAATGGAGGGCAACTAATCCTCCCCGAATGCATAGGGGTACTGAGAGAGTGCCCTGGATTCTTCCCTCAATGTATAGGGGTACTGAGAGAGTGCCCTGGATTCTTCCCCCAATGCATAGGGTACTGAGAGCGTGCCCTGGATTCTTCCCTCAATGCATAGGGGTACTGAGAGTGTGCCCTGGATTCCAGGAGTATATTATCAAGGGGAAGGCAACATGGTATTCCTAAAAGTTGAAAATAAAACTAGAGGACTTTCTTGATTTTAAGTATACTGAGAAAAAAATTCTAACTGAGCAAAAAGAATCTGTGTCTTCAATCTGACTTATCTCCTTTGGGCAATTCCTATGGAAATCTTTTTTGCTTCAAGAAATTATTGCAAATTTGCCTGTAAAGGAAAATGTACTCAAGTACATAAAACTTAAAAGAACAACGAGAAAGACCTTTCTAAGAGCCTTAGCAATATTTCTGTCTTGTTAAAGGTACCCTGATGAAATAATATGGACATGACACTATTTATTAAGAACTGGTGTAAAGTATCAAGGCACATAGAATCATGCATAATAAATGAAATATCAGATAAAACCTCACATTACATTTGCTAGAACATCAGCCATGTTGAGATTACTTTTTTGAATAAAATATGGAAGACTGAAAAGAAAATTAAATTCCATGTCATGTGTTACCTCAAATAGTCCACATAAATTAAATATTTAATTTCCTGATGAGCCCACTATTAAGACCCCTTTTTCCTAAAAAGAAAATGTTAAAAATGTTGGACAACTCATAAAAGAAAATTGTTTTAAATGGGAAATGCTAAAATCTTCAAATCAGGGTAAAAACTTACTATGGTAGACTATATAAAACTCATGTAATTGCTAGAATTGCCCATTGTTGTTAGATCCGTATCAAACTGGCTGCCCTAGTAAAACACTGACAAGGCAAATTAGTCACAAACTATGATGTGATGGTGTCCAGATAACCATACTACATTGTTTCTACTTGTCTCCTTAGATGATTGTTGTGGGCAAGACAGACATACAGATCTAATATCATTAGATGTTAGTACTTTGTGTTACTCTCATCTCCTAAGTTTAAGATTGGTGTGGAAGAATTGTCTGTATTCTGTCAATCATGTTTTAAATAAACGCTGATTGGCCAGGCAGGAGGTGTAGGTGGGAAAACCAGACAGGAAGTGAAAATGATGCAAGGAAAGCAGGAGAATTCTGGGGAGGAGGAAGTTGATTCCCCCACTCCTGCCCAGATCACCAAAGCAGCAGGATGTGAGCTGCCCCACTGAAAAAGGTACTGAGCCACATGGCTAACATAGATCAGAAAAATGGGTTAATCAAGATGTGAGAGTTAGCCAGTAAGAAACCTGACCTAATGGGCCAATCAGCTTTATAACTTACAGAGATCTGTGTGTGATTTTTCTCTGGGACTAAACAGCTCGGAGGGCCGGGCAGGACAGAAAAACCCCCAACAAACAGGTCCCCTCATGTTACATAAGATGTTGAATGCAGTCCAAACAAGACTGTCTGAAAGCTATTAGACTTAAGGACAAATTCCACCTGGAAGCATAATCTGTAAATTTAATGTTTCTTACTGAAATAGGGGAGATGATACATGAACCATGTCTATGTTCATGCCTTCTTCCATGTTCATATACAGTGTCAGCTGTTCAGTTTCACTTTATTTTGCTTGAACCCAAAGACATGTATATGAAAATTGTTGCATACACCTTTTTCCATATATTTTAGGGATCTCTGGCTCACTCCTGTTGTTATGCCTAGATTAATCTGTGTAGCTGTTTACCCAGGAAGTATGGTGATTCTGTTTGGTTCTCTAGGTCCCCTTCTTGAGTTCAAATCTCGATGATAAAGTCTGTTACTTGAAGGTCTTCCTTCTCTTCCTCATCTTTTTCCTGTTTAGTTGGTGTTAGTTTGTTTCTTTAGCTTGGTGTTTCCAGTTGAAAAGAACTAGCTAGGGTTATTTGGGAGGATGCAGCCTCAAATGAGATCTCCCCATCAATATAGCTTGTGGGAAAGTCTATGGAATATTTTCCTAATTAGGGATTGATATGGGAGGGCCCAGCCCAGCCCACAGAGGTGGTCCTTAGTTGTGTAAGAAAGCAGACTTAGCAAGCCATGAGGAGCAAGGCAGCATGCGGAGCTCTTCTGTGGTCTCTGTTCCAGTCCATGACCCAAGTTTAGGCTTGGAGTTCCTGTTCTGGCTTCCTTCAGAGACGGAATGTGTCACGAGAGTTGTAAACAGAAGTGACCCTTGTCCTTCCCAATCTGCTTTTTGTCATGGTGGTTATGAAGCTAAACAAAACTCCAAGACACCTTCTCAGAGTTGTGGCATCTCTAACTTCGTTTACCTCAGCTACACAAACCCTGAAGGAAGGCTGCTCGGACACATTCTCTGCTTGTCTATGGTATGTGTGTTCTATACCATCCACAAGGGGTTTTCAAATTATTTCCTCTGATTCTTGTTTCTTCCATACTCCTGGATTTTACTATTACCACGAGTCTCCCTTTTCTCATTCTAGCATTATCTGCCTTCTCTCTTTCTATGACTAATTTTTTTCTGATATTTTTTATGCCTATAATAATTTTTCTTTTATTTACACTGTAATTTGAAAGAGAAATAAACCAAAACCATTAGTCATTCAACTTTCTTATCAGTTCCATTGTGTGCTTGAGAGTCTACCCTGGAAGAACAGCTATAGTGTCTTGTGTACAGAGGAATCTCCTGTGTTTGCACAGAAATCTGTCTCTTGACCACTGCTTCAAGCATTCTCAGATGTGTAGAACCTCAAATGTTTGTCTTTCTTCCTTCTCAGTCCACATTATTCTTCCTACTTACTTTGAAAATTCTTGTGATTCTTATTAAATCAATTTGAATTGTGGAGGCAAGGTGGCATAGGAGTTTAACGTGAAACAGGGATCTTGCTTTATGTGATTATGGAGGAATAGAAATCCCTTC